AAACCATGATCAACCCTATCAAATACTTTTGCACAATCAGTGAAGATTACATCCATTTGCCTCTTAGTATTTATGGCATCTGCAGCAGATTGTTGAATATTGAAATATATTGTGAAAATACATAAATTTGTAAGTGTTGATCTATCTGGTAGAAATCCATGTTGATATTCATTAAAAGATTTGATAATATGTTGTAATAAGTTGTTATATAAAATAAATTCAAATATTTTTGCCAAAGAATTTAAAATACTAATTGGTCTATAATTTTTTACATCATTAATATTACCAGATTTAAAAATAGGAACTGTACTGGTTTCTTTTTATTTTTTAAGGAAGGTATTAGTTTTTAAATATAGATTAAATATATCCTGTAATGGTTCAACAAGTTGGTCAATACACCCCTTATAGATATAAGCAGGTAGATTATCTTTACCTGTACATTTCTTGGGTTTTAATTTTTTTACACTAGCTCTAATGGCTTCTTCAGTTATCTCATCAAACTCTAGAATACCATGAAACTTAGGTATCTTCATATCAGATGCTATCTGATATCAGATGGTCTGAGATGCTACAGACTGACTTAAAGTATAGTGCAAAAGTATTAGAAACTTCATCAGAACCAGTGTAAATATTGTTGTCTAACCTAATTTCTGATGGTAAACCCCTGGAACTACTTCTGGATTTCACAAATGACCAAAAACTAGTTGGGTCCATGTTAACATTCGTTTCTACAGTGTCATGATATTTTGTATACTCAGATTTTGTTTGTATTTTAATCGACTTCCTAAGACAGTTGTACTCATTCTTAATTTGGATATTAACAAGTCCACCCTGTACTTGCCTATATAGCTTGTTCTTCTTCTTGATTTTACTAATTAAATCTTGAGAAAAATATTTAGGAAAACTGTATTTTCTATAACTATTGTTAGATTTTTGTCTTTTAGGTACTGCTTGTTCAATACATTCAAACATTTTATCATAGAAGGTTTGTATAGCATTATTTACATCATTGGTTTGTTGTAATCCACCCCAATTTATTGATCTAATTAGATTATACAACAGCAGACAATTGCCCTTAGAATAATCATATTCAAAAGATGAGTGAATTTTATGTTTATCACTGTTGAGACCTTTGAGCTGCACTGTCAAGTTAAGAGAGGGATGATAGTTATCCTCCTGAACAAATGGATCACTACTTCTAGCACAAACCACATGAACATTGGATAGCACTAAATCTAACTTTCTAGCCATATAATTTACTACTGAATTTATTTGACATAGACCACATATACTTAAAAACTGATTCAGTCTCAAGCTTTTCTCACATGTGCCTAATACATAATTAGGTATATTAAAATCTCCAATAATAAAGACATCTACATTATTACAAACAATATTTTCAACATTTCCTAAAAAGTTATTAAAAACTAACATAGAAACAGAAGGTGTAATATACACACATATTAATATTAAATTACACTTGTGGTAGTTTATTTTTACCACTAAACATTCAATTTCACTGTTAGTGTTAAAATTAATGTGTTCAAATACTATATTTTTCTTAACTGCAATAATCAACCCACCTCCACGAGTTTTATTGTCATCTCTATCTCTTCTTGCTACATTATACCTCTTGTCAAATAGCTCAGCATCCAGGACACTAGAATTTAACCATGATCCAGTAATTAAAATAATAGCATGGTCACAAGACAACATACTAGTATAAAAGTCATGTACTTTAGTTCTTAAACCACGGACATTCTGATAATATAAATCTAGGTTAAGGGATTTAAAAGAGGTTTGCAGCTTGCTACTTACAGGCCTGTTTGTGCTAATAACCTTTACATTTGTATCTGGTTTTTCTAGTTTGTCTGGGTTTACTTGATTGTTTAGTTTGAAGGATCCATTGTTACATTTATTGGTGCTGGCAACAAATTTAGAAATTAGTGATCCACTGGACTAAAACTCTCTCTCTCAAAAGCTCTCCTGAAATTTGACTGGTTAATAGTTAACTTAAAGTATGCATAAGCCTCTGGATATTTTGATTGATGGTTTTCACATTTGGCTTCTGGAAAGTGTTATTTTACCATAAATTCAAAATCTTCTATCTTGTTATGTGCAAAGATACAGACTTGGGAATACTTGTTATATTAGTGTTATTGTTGTTTGTCCCAACAACGAATCGTTTATTTCTGCGCCTCCTCTGCTTTTGCCATCCTATTTCTTCATCTCAGAGACAAGGTTTTGAAAGGAAAACATTTTCTGGTCAATTTCTGCTTCATAAACTGCATCCATAAGTTACTGTATATTAACAATATTAGCATTAGCACTTTCATTTCCATCCTCTTTACCTTTTTTTAGTTATATTTACCTTTGTTATAGGTGGCGTTTGCCCAGTCGTTGTCTGGATTTTGACACGATATGATTTTTAATCATTTAACCTACTATAGCTTGAACTACTTGCCACGTCTCGCCAGGTCGAATGAGATTTTACGTTGGCTTGCGGTGTTGCCATCTATTTTAAATTTTCTTTGGATGTAGTTTTCTCGCCAATATAACCTATATTTTGTTGGGTAAACATTAATATTTCTTCTAAAAATTTAATTTTTTCTTTTAAAAGATATGAATTCTCTTCAAAAATTATATTTTTGCTTTTCGTTTCATCAAACAACATCCTCAATAATTTAATTTCGTTGTCTTTAGGATCAACAGTAATGGAATCAGAGTACTCACATGTTTCTTCATTATTTTCTTGTTTTTCACTTTTTAGGTTTTGATTGTCGCAACACTTTTTTGCTAGTTTATTTGCACAACCATCATGGTAAAATTTTTCACAATTTAAACATTTAACTCTGGCGTTTACCGCCGTTTTCTTACAATATTCACGCACTACTTTTCCGGCTAGTTTACTACCGGCCATCTTGGTTGTCGTTTTTGGAGTATAGTTTTTATATAGTATAGTAAAAAACCATCAGTATACCCCAATTCAATAGGAGTCAGGTGAATACGCTTAAAATAATGCAGAAACTTTGAAAGAACTTTTAAGGGTGTACTTTCCTGAGTTGGAAACAAAACTGATCCCCAGACACATGGCAGCACAATGGCTTGAAAAACATAACTTATGGTCGGGAAAACTGGGGTATAGTTTCGGCCCGGCAATCAGTACTTGGACACAGGAGAGAATAGTATGTCTCAGATCAATACTCCAAGACCGAGTACGGAACTGCCACTAGATCAATACTCCAGCAGAAACGGTTGGCCTTCGGTCAATACCCTAGGGCCAGTGGAGTTGTTGTCAGATCAATACTCCCACGGAACTCAGCTTTCTCTTGCGGCGGCTGCTCTTTTATACGGTCGAAGACCTTAGATCTCCTCTAGCGCACATCGATTGAGGAAGAAACTTCTGGTAGGGATGTGTAACTACGAAGCGCTGACGATACTGAGGCGATTCAAATCGTTACACGATTCAATTCGACTCGTTCGATTTTGTTCGATGCTATTCGATTCAAATTTCATTCAATTCGATTACCTTCCATTACATTCGATTCAATTCAATTCAATTCGATTCCCTACGATTCCATAAGATAACATTCGACTCGATCCTATTCGATTCCATTCGATTTTGTTTGAGTTGGTTCCATTCAATTCTATTATATTCCATTCGATTAAATTCGAATAAATTCCATTCAATTCGATGCCATTGGACTCCATTCGATTTCATTTGATTCCATTCGATTCCATTTAATTCTATTCTATTGCATTCGATTCCATTTGTTTACATTAGATTCGATTCCACTTGATTCGATTAGATTTCATTCGATTCCATTGAACCCATCGGATTCATTCGATTCAATTTGCTTCCATTCGATTCGATTACACTCAATTACATTCAATTCATTTTATTTTATTTTATTATTTTATCAGTTTGGTTTATTTTATTTTATTAAGCAATTACTTTACTTAATAAAATATAGTTTTTCTATAGCCATTCATTTGAGCAATTTCTATAGATGGGAAATGACCTTCGATACAAAAAATACACTATACGCTAATGTCTTACCTAGTCAATAAATAATTCACTTAATTCTTCTAATTTTATTAAAAAATATATTTTAATACAATATTGTTTCATTAAAATAATAAAAATTTCAATAACAAAAATATAGTCCCCATTAGTGATGTAACGAATATTCGCATTCGCATTCGCGAATATTCGCATATTTTTGCATATTCGCATTTGCATTCGCATTCGCAAAATTTGTGCGAATGTTTTGCGAATATTACACAGCTTGCATTTAGCTCGTTCAGTATCGAAAAGTGGTGAAAAATAAGTCCATATTTCACTATAATTTGATTTACTCATAGTAATAAATCGCTAATCACACTTTAACTAAAAATTCACTTGTATTTGTGCACGAGCAGAGCAGGGCAAGTGGAGTGACTTGTGTCCCGTGAAATTTTTATTGGAACTATAACCAGAGAACTTAGTTCTCTGCTATAACTTTCTCTCTATAACAAGTCAAATTTGATTATAACAAGAGAAAATAAGATCGAAAAACGTGCTTTCTACGTTTTTGGCCCGGACGTGACTATAAATAAATACCTTTTTAAACGACCCCTCAATAAACTTAACCGCCTACAATAAACTTCTTTACAATAAATACAACTGTTTCACATCTTTACTTTAGCAAATATGATAGAATGATACTGGACAATTTAAAGCAGTTAAAAATGACAGACTTTTCCAATTGCCTACACACCTCGCGCAAATGAGACTGCTGACAGTGCCGGAGACAATTAAAATTGCCAAATTAAAAAAAAAAAACTGAATATTCGCATTCGCGAATGTCGGTGGCATATATTCGCATTCGCATTCGCGAATGTTTAAAAAATGACATTTGTTACATCACTAGTCCCCATATTTACAAGAGGCGGAATAGTTTCTGAAAGGGAATTTATGACGAATAAAATTAGTTTAAAAGTAAAATTAGCAAACTTACCTGATCGTGAGCTTCGTACAAACTGTCCGTTTCATTCAATAATTTTTTACAGCTAGTGATTTCATCATTTTTTTCAGTCTCATTTTCATTATCTCTAAGGTCTACATTATTTACAATTGTGTCGATAGATGGAAAAACTACAGTTTGATCAGTTGCATAACTAAAGAAAAAAAAAATATAAAACAGAAATCGTGGATGCACTTATCATGTTCTTTGTTATTTTTTCATTTGAGCGAATATAATCTCTAATTATATTTCATAAGCAAAACCAATCTAGTCCCCACATTAAATCATTTTGACTTATGAATGAACACACACACACACACACACACACACACACACACACACACACACACACACACACACACACACACACACACACACACACACACACACACACACACACACACACACACACACACACACACACACACACACACACACACACACACACACACACACACACACACACACACACACACACACACACACACACACACACACACACACACACACACACACACACACACACACACACACACACACACACACACACACACACACACACACACACACACACACACACACACACACACACACACACACACACACACACACACACACACACACACACACACACACACACACACACACACACACACACACACACACACACACACACACACACACACACACACACACACACACACACACACACACACACACACACACACACACACACACACACACACACACACACACACACACACACACACACACACACACACACACACACACACACACACACACACACACACACACACACACACACACACACACACACACACACACACACACACACACACACACACACACACACACACACACACACACACACACACACACACACACACACACACACACACACACACACACACACACACACACACACACACACACACACACACACACACACACACACACACACACACACACACACACACACACACACACACACACACACACACACACACACACACACACACACACACACACACACACACACACACACACACACACACACACACACACACACACACACACACACACACACACACACACACACACACACACACACACACACACACACACACACACCACACACACACACACACACACACACACACACACACACACACACACACACACACACACACACACACACACACACAAACACACACACACACACACACACACACACACACACACACACACACACACACACACACACACACACACACACACACACACACACACACACACACACACACACACACACACACACACACACACACACACACACACACACACACACACACACACACACACACACACACACACACACACACACACACACACACACACACACACACACACACACACACACACACACACACACACACACACACACACACACACACACACACACACACACACACACACACACACACACACACACACACACACACACACACACACACACACACACACACACACACACACACACACACACACACACACACACACACACACACACACACACACACACACACACACACACACACACACACACACACACACACACACACACACACACACACACACACACCACACACACACACACACACACACACACACACACACACACACACACACACACACACACACACACACACACACACACACACACACACACACACACACACACACACACACACACACACACACACACACACACACACACACACACACACACACACACACACACACACACACACACACACACACACACACACACACACACACACACACACACACACACACACACACACACACACACACACACACACACACACACACACACACACACACACACACACACACACACACACACACACACACACACACACACACACACACACACATAATATTTTATTTCACAGATTTGTGCCACACTGTATAATACTCGTCGATCTTTGTTAATAAAAATATAAAGGGCCATTAACACTACAATTTGCAAATAATTTTAATTTTACAGGGCGTTCCAAAAAAGAGTGGTATATCAAAGTTATATTTTTTATTGCAGAACATCCTATATTTGATGACATTTTTCAATTGTTCTTAAAAATAAATAAATAAATCTCTTATATAATATATACTCCGAGACAAATATGTTGTTGAGTCTTAATAAATGACTACTTTTCTTATTTCAACAAATATTTATTAAGAATTTTTTTACAGGGTGGTCAAAATATTGGATTGTTCTATTAAAATATTCAAGCTGTAATAACGTACTTATTTGAAATTGACCACCCTGTCAGCTGCGGATCGTGGCCTAAAAAAGTGGTGAAGGTGAGGAAAGCTTTCCGGAGCCAAAAGGAGTTTTGGTACCTACTTCGCGGTCAAATTTCATTAAAAATTCGTTAAAAAAATGTATAGAGTTTAGGGCCCTCATAACTTAAAAACAGTTTCTGAACCTTGACATTTCATTGAGCGTTTTTGGCGATTAAAACACTACTCCTGTTAAAACGGGTTGGTGAGTTTCGATTCAGCCGCCCACTCTGGGTCAGATGCTGATTGCAGCCGACGACTCTGGATCAAACGCTGCAGTGTTTACTGGTTTTGGTCCTCGCCGAGTATTTCATTTCCCGGTACAACCTATTTCTAGGAGACATTCCCCTCTCCGCCACCTGGGAAAGCGCCCGATGGAGGACCAACAACCTCTCACAGGATGACAGAGAGAGAAAGAGAGAGAAAGAGAGAGAAAGAGAGAGAGAGAGAGAGAGAGAGAGAGAGAAAGCGAGAGAGAGAGAGGGGACTAAAGTGACAGATGTCATAGAAAAAATTGCACAAGCCAAATGGAGATGGGCTGGACATGTAGCACGTTTAAATGATAATAGGTGGACCAAAAGACTCATAGAATGGAGATCTCATCATCATCAATTGGCCTATGTTTGTCCACTGCTGTAAAATTTTCCACCTATTTCTGTCTTGAGCTTCTTGCATCCAGTTTGTGGTGATGCGCTTGATATCATCCGTCCATCTAGTCGGTGGTCGTCCTCTGCTTCGATATGCATCTTGCCTTGGTCGCCAGTCCAGAATCTTTTTGGTCCATCTTTCATCCGATAATCTGGCAACATGTCCGGCCCAAGCCCATTTAGCTCTGGCTATTTCTTCAACTATTATGGCTATTATGGCTATTATAGCAAGAAACAAGTGGATAAGAGAGAAAACAAAAGTGAGGGATGTTAGACAAGAAGTTGCAAAATTGAAATGGAGATTTGCCGGACACAATATAAGACAAAAAGAAGACCGATGGAACAAAATTCTTATAAGTTGGAGACCGTGGGAATATAAACGAAGCAGAGGAAGGCCCCAAATGAGATGGGCAGATGATGTCAAGAAGGACGTGGGCTCTAGATGGATGACTGTAGCGACAGACAGAGAAGAATGGAAAAGGATTGGGGAGGCCTATGTCCAAAGATGGGCCGAAGAAGGCTAATTAGATAGATAGATAGATTTTTTTCAACTGCATCTGTGACTCCTGTTCTTCTTCTTATTTCTAGGTTTGGTACTTTATCTCTGATGGTAATACCTAATATTGATCTTTCCATAGCGCGTTGTGTAACTCTTATTTTATCTATTGTTCTTTTTGTCAGAGTCAGTGTTTCTGCACCATATGTAAGAACCGGTAAAACGCACTGGTTAAAAACCTTTCTTTCGAAACAAACTGGAATTATAGACTTGAAAATGTTATTCAATCTACCAGAGGCAGCCCATGTGAGACCTATCCTTCTTTGTATTTCAGTTGTCTGATTATTTTGGCCTAGGCGAATCTCATGCCCTAGATATTTGTAAGCTATTACTTGGTCGATGCTATGGTTCTAAATCAGAATTTTGACACTTTATAGAGCGTGTGCAGCATTTTTGTAGCTTTATCAACTCTATCAGATATTAAAACGATGTCATCGGCAAATCTTAGGTGGTTCAGATCTTCACCATTTACATTAATTCCCATATTATCCTCTCGTTCCATTTGCTTGAACATATATTCAAGAACTGCTGTAAATTATTTAGGGGAGATAGTATCACCCTGTCTAATTCCACGTTCTCTTCGAAACTTCTTGGTATCTTCATGAAGGCGGACACAAGCTGTACCAGTTGCGTAAATACTTTTAATCAAGGCAATATATCGGTAGTCAATGCGGCAGTCAGCCAATGCTCGAAAAATTTTATGATGATCTATAGTATCGAACGCCTTTTCATAATCTACGAATATAAGAAAGATAGGCTTGTTATACTCTGTACACTTTTCTATTAGCGTTTTTACAACTTGCAGATGATCATTCATGAATGGAGATCTAGAGAAGATAAAAGACACTGGAGGTAGACCATAAAAAATATGGATGGATGACTTGAGAAAAACAGTAGGAAATTCGATACAGATGGCACAAGATAGAGAACAATTGAAGAATATAGAGGTGATCTATATCCAAAAGTGGATGCAAGAGGTTGCGGAATGATAATCTTAATGATACTAGAACCGAGGGTGAAGAGATACTTAAAAAAACAGTATTAGATAGACTAATAGAACTGACTTACCTAGTTTTTATAAATCAAGTCGATCCTTCGGTCTTTTAAGGAGGCAAATCTATCAATAATATCCTCGTAGAAAGGATGCTTCTGCATAAGTTCATTCACAGTTCTTTATGAAGTGCGATAACAGTCAAACTGGATAGTCTATCTTGTGAAATAGTGTTTCTTGTAAAAGTTTTTAACCTTTTTAAGCAAGAAAAACTTCTTCCTACTGATACGCTTGTCGATGGAATTGTCAGAATTAAACAAAACAAATTATAGGCTTCTGCAATGTCTTTAATTGGTTGTAACTTTATAACCAATTCTTACAAATTCACATTTTTGTAATTTCGTCGGCATAAAGAAGGCAGAGCTCACTTTTAAGTCTTTGATGTTTAGTAAATTGTGTACAATAAAACTCAAATTTCGAAAAGTGTCGGAAGGGAAGGTCAAACTGTATGACTCAAACTTTGTTGTATCTCTAAGCTTGCGAATTTTAATTTATCACAATCCTGAAAACGTATA